GGAATTTAGCTCATTTATGAGTTGATTTTTAGTTCATTTATTGAACTAAGAGTTAGCTCATTATTAGCTAGGTTTTAGTTCATTTATTGTCGTATTTATGTAGCTTTTTATTTATTGTTTTATCTTAAATTAAAGTTGTCTCTTGGGATTCCAAAATGGCTTTGGAATCCCAAGATTTGTCTTTGTTTCCATGCCTTAGCTCCTTGGCTTCCACTGGTGGCTGATTTCGTGTATTGTCTCCTTGGTTTCCCAGGTGGCTGTTGTTTCCGAGCTAGGGGGTTTTCCCGTGGCTTTGGGCGTCTTGATTCCGTGTGCCTCCTTGCTCTGCGGCTACTCCTTCGGTTCTTGGGCTTGGGCTGTTTTTCCATGAAAAGCATTTGGGTTTTAATGTTTGTGATGTTTAGAATCCTATGTGAATTCATTGTTAGTGTCCTTTTTATTCCCCTTTTATCTATAAATATGAGGGCTTGTTTATTGTTTAAAATAGTTTAAATGTATATGTGATTTTGGAAATGTGTAACCTGCGGTTTCATGGAAAAGCTTTGCGAGCTTTGTCCTCTCTTTCTCATCCCCTATGAAAATCTTGCGAGCTCTTTCCAAACCTTTCGCTCGGCTTCAACTCGCTGTCAATCTCTTTCGTCTCTCCCAGTGCCACTCCATCTATATCTTTCGTCTCTAAGTAAAGCAACTTTAGGTGTCTTTGATTTTCGATTCGAGTTTGTTAGATCGTCGTTTGTATGCTTTTATATTTCTCTTCTTTGTAGTTTAATTTGAAATGTAAGAGTTTGTTCTTCCTCATCTTAGTCATCTTTGTTTCGGAATTAGTGGGTCGTCGATTCGGTTCTATCTCCCGTGCGGGAGAGGGGTATAGGCTCCCTATATTTCTTGCCCCCACCAATTTGGTATCAGAGCAAGTTAGAAAGTCTTAGGATTTGGTCGTCAAATTTTGGTTTGTCAAATTAGTTTGTCAAGTTTTATTTATTTTGTCAAGTAAAGTATTGTCGAGAGTTTCGTGAGTCTTGAGTCGTAAAAGAATTGTGAGTCTAAGTTTAGGTTGAGTCTTTTGAATCTTTCTTTTAGTCTTTTTTTTAGTCTTGTTTGAGTCATCAAAAAAATAAAAAAATGAAAAAAGACAGAAGAAAGCAAACCTGAAGAAATTGAAGATTCTATGGATAGGTGGATTCCAACAAAGTGAACACATCCTCTGGAGTATGAACTATACAAACTTCAATCATGGATGCACATACGTACAGAAAGGTACTTCAAGAAAAGCAACGTTTACATGATAAATTTCTGAAAGAACGAGATGAGATCATGCAGAAATATGAAGACCTGATTAATGAATTGGATGCTCTGTCTTCTCCTCTTCAGAAGACAACCAGAATTGACTCATCGGGAGCTGAGTCCTCAAGAAGGGGAGAATCTGATGTAGACAAAAGGGGGTCAACTCATATCCAAAATAAATCAATTTTGGCCTCCCTCGAGTTTACAAGCTCAATAAAATTTGAGCTGGAATTTAGCTCATTTATGAGCTGATTTTTAGTTCATTTATTGAACTAAGAGTTAGCTCATTATTAGCTAGGTTTTAGTTCATTTATTATCGTATTTATGTAGTTTTTTATTTATTGTTTTATCTTAAATTAAAGTTGTCTCTTGGGATTCCAAAATGGCTTTTGGAATCCCAAGATTTGTTTTGTTTTCCCATGCCTTGGCTCCTTGGCTTCCACGGGTGGCTGATTTCCGTGCTTTGTCTCCTTGGTTCCCACGGTGGCTGTTGGTTTTCTGAGCTAGGGGGTTTTCCCGTGGCTTTGGCGCCTTGGTTCCGTGCGGCCTCCTTTGCTCCCGCGGCTGCTCCTTCGGTTCTTGGGCTTGGGCTATTTTTCCATGAAAAGCATTTGGGTTTTAATGTTTGTCATGTTTAGAATTCCTATGTGAATTCATTGTTAGTGTCCTTTTGTATTCCCCTTTCATACCTATAAATATGAGGGGCTTGTTATGTTCTAAAATAGTTGAGTGATATGTGATTTTTGGAAATGTGAACCTGCGGGTTTCATGAAAAAGCTTGCGAGCTTTGTCCGTCTTCTTTCTCATCCCCTCCGGAAATCTTGTGAGCTATTTCCAACCTTTCGTCTCGGCTTCTAATCTCTTTCGTCTCTCTGCAAGTGCCACTCCATCTGTATCTTTCGTCTCTAAGTAAAGCAACTTTAGGGTGTCTTTGATTTTCGATTCGAGTTTGTTAGATCGTCGTTTGTAGTCTTTTAATTTCTTCTTTGTAGTTTAATTTGAAATGTAAGAGTTTGTTCTTCCTCATCTTAGTCATCTTTGTTTCGTGAATTAGTGGGTCGTCGATTCGGTTCTATCTCCCGTGCGGGCAAGGGGTATAGGCTTCCTATATTTCTTGCCCCCACCAGGTAACATGCATTCCATCAATCGCATTTAACAAGGAGTTTTGGTTTACTCGGTGTTTTTTTCCAGTACTCGGTAATCAGTAATTAATAATCGTTGACTTAGTAAACAAAGTCGCCACTACTTGCTCGTCGACATAGAAATATCTCTTTATAACTTTCAATTAGTGAATCTGTAGAGAATAACATTGAACCACAATATTTAAAGGAAAGTTCGTTCTGTTCACAATCATGTATAGGTCAGTCAATCTTCATCCAACGTCAGTAAAACCAGGCTTTACTTGTCCTCACACATATTATTATCACAATGTTATAACCATAATAGAAATCAACTATTACCTAATCATGTGCTCAATTTTATTCACAATGCTTGTATTAACATTATGTCTATATTAAAATACCAAAATTACCATTTTGTACAAATTGTACAAAACACAAATTTCATTTATCCAGTGAAATCACACAATGAACCAGTCAAAATGTCTAGAATAATCAGTACTATAACATATAAAAAGTTATGCAGTAGAAGTTCACTAAATTCGATATATAATAAAATTAATTTAGAAGTTGGACAATCAAAATCAAAATATATGATAATTGAGATAGGATAACAGTCACCTACCATGATCTAATCATTTTTCGTAAAACAATGAAGTAGATCGGCAACCAAAATGTAAACTACTCTTTCCTCTCTCCTCTTTTCCTCCCCCTTATGTTCTTCTTTCCACGGTAAGCCACGACGCTGCGTTGATGTCGCGAGTGAGTGGAGAGAAAGAGGGAATATATATATATATATATATATATATATGAATGAATTTTAGTGCGTATCGTCACAGTGCCACCACCCAGCGCCCCAGCGCTGCATGTTGAATCCAGAATTAATGTAAAATAGAGGCTTCAATATCTCGGTGGAGATCTTTGGCACTGCTGTGCTCACATATCACAGATCGTGGCATCTCAAACTCAGTGCCACAATGCGCCAGTTCAAACAGAAATTCAAATTGTTTATTTTAAATTTATTTTCCAAATATCGGGTTGTTACAGTCAGTTCCTTCTTTGGGTGCCTTTGATGAGTTGCCAAGTTTGAAGATCCCTTGCAGATGTTGTTGCCCCGCACTCGCCCCTAGAGTTTGGCCTAGGGAATCTTGGATTGTCTTCATGATTTGCTCCATCTTCTGCCGATTGAGATGAGTAATGAGTTTTGTACTCTCCATTTTCATTTTAACGGAAGGCTCTTATGTAAGTTCCTCATCTAGTTGGATCAATATTCTTTTCATTGGAATTATTCCAGGCTCAACACACCTGAGAATATGTTGAATTTACATTTTTCAGTGGTGATGTCGACTTTATGAGCAGGTAAACTGGTGAGATGGAACCTGTGAGTAAGAATGGAGTCTAGTGAGAGTAAAGAGAGCAGAGAAGAAGACTAGAGACCTTAAACTGGCATAGTATTTACTATCAAAGAAAATTCAGGGTCCATGCTCCAAAAGTCGAAGGTCCGTCCAATACAGTGGAGAATGATTTTACAAAGATAATGACAAACATAAAGCTATTCAAAATACCCATACAATGATACGCACTAGTCCAAAAAATGTGTCACCCCCTGATAAGCTATAGGAGGATGAAGTCAACAAGTGAGCTCTTTGAGGGCGTGCTCAGTGGTGACGATCGAGTAGGCTCTGGGTCAGTCTGCGATTGAATCTTGGAGAGTGGTCAGGCATGATTGATGGTTTGTTTAGAAGATCTTAGGTTGTCTTATGAAGTAAGACAAGTGAGATGTTGTTGGACTGGAAGAGCTTTAGGTCAGATAGTTGTGACTGAGCTTTGTTTCTTTTGAGTAGGCACCTTCATGTTGCTAAGTTGGGCATGCTTGATGTTTGAATGGGTTTTTATTTTGAGGGAGGGGGGAGGGGGAATGATGGGGGTGGTTCCAATAGAGAGGTAGCAATGAGTGATGATTTGATGAACGATCCTTGATTCGCACTGTGTAGGGTGAGCTTCGTTGTGGGCTCATACGAGTTGAGCCCGTCCATTACCTCAAGCGAGTCCCTCTATAAGTCCAAGGCGAGTTCCCCAATGAAACCCTTCTTGAGGGCAAGTATCCTCGTAAATACTTGGTACTTGTGTGTGAAACACCTGTGAAGTCATCCATGAGTTTACTACCATAAACATATCTTTGTTCTCCATGAATGGTTGGAATAATGCTTAGTCTTGTGATGATGACTCAAGTATCTCATCCTTGGGAATATGAATCTGATTAGGCATCATTGCTTTATTTTAGTATGTATTCAGATGTGCATATTATAATTCTTGATTCCTAAATGGTATTATGTCAGTTTTGTTGTTCATATTAATCGTGCCTTTAGCTTCTTACCTTTTTCTCCACCATTGGCACACGAATGAATTTTTTTTTTTCATGGGAAGATGATTGCCTTTTCTGTGACATGCCCATATCATTTTTCTCCTGTTTTATCTTGTTTTGGTTTTCCCCGGTCTGGTTTTTACTATTTATAAGGTTTGTTATATTTATTTAGCGGTGATCAATTAATTATATGTCTGTTATGTTATCTAATATCCTTTCTTCTTCCACTTCAGATTGAACTAGGTAAAAAATTCTTCAAAGATGGAAGGGCCATTGATTTGAAAGGTGAGAACTGTTTCATGAAACCTAACTTAAAAATGACATTACTGATCATTTACAAAGCTTGTAGCTTTGAATATACAGAACAAGTTTTTTTTATTATTTTTGTCTTTTAAAGTTTTGTCCTACATGCTTCTCCATAGAAACGTTTTCATTAATCAAATTTAAAAGGTGGCTTGCAAAACAAACTTGATGCCTTCATGCATATTATTGCAGATAGTATGGTTTGGTGATCTAAGTCAGGAAAATAAGTTTTGATAAAGAGAAAATTGGCTGCACTTTATGCACCAATTTCTTAAAAAATGGAGAGATATCAAGTTGCTTGTTTGCAGGTCTGAAGAATTTCTTGTTTAATGGATCTTTTTTGTGGGATCTGTTGTTTAATGAATCTTTTGTTTACTTATTTATGTGGTAAGAGTTATTCAAGATATATGCTTTGTTGCATTCTGAGGCATTTTTATTTGCATTTGATTTTGTTTTTTAACATCTTGCTATATTAAGAAAGAGATGCTTTTTTAATGCGTCTTAATTACAATAATTCCTGTTCACTTAGTGTTTTATGAGATACAGTTACCTTTCTATTTGTGGTAAAAAGTTAACACGAAGTGTTTATAAATCAACAAACTAGTTACAAGATTAAGTTCGACAAAATTGAAAAATATAGTTATCATCAACAAAATGGCAGTTTAATAAAGCAGCCACAGCGTTTTCTTGTTCAACCTTATTGACAATATCAAAAGATATTGAACTAATTAAAAACATGTTCACCATCACAGCGGCTGACTAGATTAGCTTTAATTAATTATAGTTGAAGGAGACACAACATAGTCAAAGGACAAATTTTTCATAATTAGTTTGTCTATGCTTTGTAACTTTTTGCTTAAATTTGACCAATTAGACGAGCATGATCTATTGCTAACTGCAAATAGTTTGTATCAGGCTAATAATAATGGTATTACTGATGATGAAACAAAGTCGGTCAATTGAATTCGATGAGCTTAATGAAGTGGTCTTTTATGTTTGTGTTAACATATATTTCAATTTGCCTCTTGGGCTTGTGAAAAATGATGCTATAGTAATTTTGTGAAATGTGATTTATAATCTGTTTAATCTTTTACTTAGACTTTGGAAATTTAGATTTTCTTTAGTTGATATGATAAGATTAATTATTGTTGAAAAATAGAAAAGAAAAGTACTTATCTTATTCCTTTTTAATAGAAAAGATACATATTTTATGGGGCATGCACAATCGCTTGAATAGAAATCATTAGGAAAAAAAAAAAACTAGGTCCTGCACGGCTCTTCGGAAAAAACTTGAAAAAAGGTAAAACAGTAAACTGGAAAGCTTTTTAATAGAAATTCATTGAATTAAATATATGATTTCATTCCCCTTCATATGGAAGTAAGTGATCGTAAAAAAAAAAAATTGATCGTCATACCCTGGAAAATCTGGATCTTTTTGATTTGAACATGTGTGGGAACCTTTATTAATGGATTACGCAGTATAACTGGACTGGGTTGGCAGTGGACAGCAGCAAGAGGGATATCTGGAGTGATTTGATTGTTTTTTTTTTGATGGAAATGCCAAATGCATTAAAATAAAAGAGGAAAATAAACCTAGAAACAAGCTACTAGGTGATAGAACATCTATCACCATCCTCCATCAATATAGACATAAAATGTGGAGGAACATTATTACCCATGAGATCATCCAAAAAAAAATCTCATTCTAAAGCTAAGTTAGCACTAAAATGTGCCAACTTATTACAATTTCTATAACAAAAATTAATGAATGAACAAAAATCTTTAAGGAATGATAAGTCTTCAAAATCATCTTCCATATTGCTCCCATCAGCCCTCTCCACCGATTTTTGAAGATGCTTGATGACATTTAAATTATCTCCCTCTATGATTAATCCTTTGGCTTCCATCATCCATCCCTTAATAGCCACCTTCAAGTGTTGAAATGCTGCAAGTTCCAATGCTCCTATATCCCAATGTGAGCATTTAACACCAAACGCTGAGAGGAACCTCCCTTTATGATATCTAAACACTCCACCAATTCCTGCCTTATATGATTGTAACAGAGTTGCATCAAAGTTAAATTTAATCCAATCAGGGGGATGAGGGTGCCAATTAGAATTGTTCAACCGAAGCTGGTTAGTACCCCAGATTTTTGAAATTAGATTAAATTTTAAAGCATTGGAGGCTATACTGATAGCATTGGATGCAAGGAAACTCACAACGAATTCTTCATCTCCATGCTTAACCTGATTCCTGCTTTTCCAAGGAACAAACACCATAGGGCAATACAAATTACCAATGAATTTATTGCTTCCAGATAAAGCCTTCAGTTTTGATATACATTGAATTAATGAAGTAACCGTTGGAACCATGGTTTAAAATTGCGCAATATGAGGCTCGCCTTTGCGCAATTCCAATAAAAAACGCATCGATGCTTACGCCTCGAGTTTTTTTTATGAGGCTTGCGCCTCAACTTGGTTGAGGCCCGCCTCGCCTCACTGGCATGAGGCTTACGCCTCACGCTATATATATTAAAACTTACATAAATCTTGAAGTAAATGCTCAATATTGAACTCTATAAGAGAGGAAGGGGAGAGAGCAGTTCATCATAATAATGATTTAGATGAAGAACCCCTTAGTGATGACAGTTTTGATGACTTATGAGTTCTTATGTGATATGTCATTGCTATTTATTTTTGGAAATTTGAATTATATGTTAATGAAAAGAATAATGGGATTTGGGAAAGATAGAATTTTGAGTTGAATTATATTTCATGTTGTCATATTATTGGGATATTTTGATTTCACTTCATATCTTATGCTTTTTTATGTTTAATATTATTCACTCATTAGTATATAAAAATTTATCATTTTATGTTACGCAATCTTTTGATTTTGAGGCTTACGCCTCAAAACGCCTTGAGGCTTACGCCTCACCTCATGAATGAAAAACGCCTCAATACCTGTATACGCATTTTTAAACATTGGTTGGAACTATGAACCCCCACTCATTCAGCCACAGAGAGCAATTCCCTACCACATGATTAATGTTTTCAATTTCCAAGCAACCCCGAGGACAAGAATTGTTATTTACCATCCTCCTATAAAAAAAAATCATTGGTAGGTAAGGCGTTATTGAGCAAACGCCACCAAAAGCATTCTACTTGTGGAGATAGCTTTAACTCCTTGAACCATTTGATGTACTCCTTCTCCTCATGAACTCTATTGTTCTTAACGACCATAGCCGAGATAGTATTCCTAGATAATTTCAGCATAAGTTCTAGTTGATCGTTACAATTTTTATAGATTTGAATTTGAGAAATACTATCAACCAAATTCTGTCCAAACCACCTTCGTAACAATATGAAATTCCAGCTCCCGTCATTTATAAACTCCAGTAATTTTGGAATTTCTTCATCTGTTACTTCAATAAATGTTGGCCATCTATCAAGACATTTGTTTAAGATCCAAACATCTTTCATAATGTCGATAGAAGATCCAGAGCCAATATTCCATCTCACCATTGATTTAAGAGCTTCCATGCCACTTAGGAGAATTTTACAAGTAATTAAACTTGTTCTTTCTTGATTTCAGCATTCTAGATATTCCCATATTTAGCTTTTATTGATCTATTTAATAAAGAATCAGATTTATTGAAAAAGCTCCAAGCAAATTTAGCTCTAAGAGATCCAGAAAGAACACAGTCCTCTTCCACCTTCTGAAATTGGTTTACAAAGCTCCTCCCAGGACAAATAATGCATACCTTGATTTCCTCCAGGCTTGTTCCATATAAAGTCTCTACATAGCTTGTCAATTTTCCTCAAAATGTTCATTGGAACCAAAGAACGAGACAAAAAAAAAAAAAAAAAAAAAACAGGTATTGCTTGCAACACAGATTTTACCAATACAATTCTTCCTGTTAATGAAATGAGTTTATTAGCCCATACATTGAGCTTGCTAGCAATTTTATCAATAATGTTCAAGAAATCCGATGACATCATTCTCTTGAAAGTCATTTTAATCCCAAGATAGTTAATCTCCTTAATTTCTTTGAACTTGAATATTTTTTTAATTTTCTTTCTAGCTCTCCTTCCCACCATTTTCCCGAACAAGACATGAGATTTTCCCTTATTAACAGCTTGTCCCGTCCATTAGCAATATTTTGAGATAATTTTCCTGATTCTTCTCACCTGATCTAGCTTGGCTTCCGAGAATAATAAAATATCATCAGCATACATCAAGTGACTTATCCTTAGAGCATTTGGAGCCACTTTAATTCCCAAGTCCTTCCCGTTGCTATGAAACTCCTCAGATATCAATTGAGAGCAAAGTAGAAAAATATACGGAGATAGAGGCACCCTTGACGAAGCCCACTTTTAGCCTCAATCAAATCCGACTTTATACCATTTAACATAATTGTAAATTTGGGATCCATAACACATTCCAATATTAGATTAACAAATCTAATTGGAAAGCCAAAATAATTCAAGACTTGCTTAATAGTCGGCAAAGCTATACTATCGTATGCGTGCTCCATATCGATTTTAGTTGCAACCAATCCATTTTTAGATTTGGAAAATCTAAATTTTTTAAATAGTTCATGAACCAATAAGATATTGTCCGACAATGATCTTCCTTTAATGAAAGCCATTTGCTCTTCTGAAACCATTTTGTAAATGACTTTCATAAGTCTATTTAAAAGGATTTTAGCAATCACCTTATAAACAGACAAGCATAAACTGATCGGACAGTAGTGAGAAGGAAGAACAAGATTTTTAATCTTAGGAATAAGAACCACCATCGTCTTTTTCCATTTATCATTCATCTTTCCATGAATAAAGAAATATTGGATCGCAATCCAAACATCCTGACTAATAACCTTCCAATAATGCTTAAAGAATGAGTACGTTATCCCATCCATACCTGGGGAAATGTTCGAACCATGCTCTCTCACCACCGCCTCCACTTCCTGGAAAGATAAA